AAAATAAATAAAAATTAGGGCTGGCCCGGTGGCGCACTGGAGAGTACACCGCTTGGGAGCGTGGCGGTGCTCCCATGAGGGTTCGGATCCCATGTGGAGACCGGTTTCCGTTCACTGGCTGAGCGCGGTGCGGGCGCAACACTGAGGGTTGCGATCCCATTACCAGGCAGTAAAAAAGACAAAAAGGAAAAAAAAAATAATAAAATAAAATAAAATAAATAAAAATTGGAATTATTAAATACTTAAAAAAATCATTAGATCACCTTCAAATATATAGAAAATATTTGAACTCATCTATCAAAGTGTTGAATTATTAAAGTTTTTAGCTGTAGTAGTTAACAAAAGGGGATTCCATTAAACAGGGTGTCAGTGGTATATATGTAAATTGATTAGTCTGAAGTGCTTTAAAATATTTTTAAAAATTGTTTTTCTCCCTTAATTTACATTATTAATTGTACTCTAAAAAAGGATTTTGCTGACCATAAGTAAATTATACAGAAATCAGTAATTTCCAATTTAATAAAATCCAAATTTGAGAGGTTTTAAAATATCTAAAGTTTGCATAATGGGGAAAAACTTAACTATATGGTGGAGGAATAAGAGTCACATCACCTTAAGCCAGTAATTTTAGCGTCACAATTTGGTGACTTAAACAGATGTTGTTACGTGCCTACGTAAGATGTAGCAACATCATCTGTGATATGTTCTATTGCAAAGTGCTTAACTTGAACTTAACAAGTCTTTAAAATTCACTTTGTAGGGGCTGGCCCGGTGGCGCACTGCTACAGTGTGCCGCTTGGGAGCGCGGTGGCGCTCCCGCCGAGGGTTCGGATCCCACATACAGACTGGTTCCCGCTCACTGGCTGAGCGAGGTGTGGACGCAGCACCGAGGGTTGCGATCCGGTTGCCGGTCCCGGTCCGGTACGGGCGCGACACTGAGGGTTGCGATCTGTTGCCGGACACGAAAAAAGACAAAAAGGGAAAAAAAAAAAATTCACTTTGTAGGAAACATAGGGGATAAAGAAACAGGCTAAACGACATGACAAGGAGGTTATCAGACATATCAGAACCTGGGGCATTCTGAGGAAAAACGGGTCATGTCTTTTCATCATGGGACTTCACTAGATTAAAAGACTTAAGGGACATATCGTCCAAACTCCATGTGTGATCCTAAACCGAGACTGGTCTATACACACCAGCTGCAAAACATTTTTGGGGATCACAAATGGGAATATGGTCTGGTTATTAGATGTGAGAAAAATCAAATGAGATGGAAGGATGGAGATCACTGATTGAAAAAAGCAGGTTAAAGACTCATATGTGAAATACAATTTCAGACTCTCCTTCATGTCTAAAAATGTGTGCGTGGACACATAGAGCAAGCATAGGTTTTAATAGTGATAATGTTGGGTGGTAAGAATGTGATCATTCTGATTACAGCATATTCTAGTTTTCTACAATATACCCATACTGTTTCTATAATAATAAAATAATCATTTTAAAACACAAATTCTATGGAAAATTTACATGACTTTTTTTGTGATATCAATAAATACATTCATGATGGTTCATCATAGAAAATTTGTTAGAAAAGAGGCAGATATTTACATGAGTAGAAGCCAAGGGAAAACTGAAGGTTTATATAAAAAGGTCTCAATTCAATTCTTTGACTATAATGCTTTGATTTAATCAAGATACATTTCCTGCCTTTTGTGTTATTTCACATACAAAGTGAAATGCATTAAAAACGTTTTCTTAACTTTTCCTCAGTAAAGGCATAACAACTCATTATTATTAGATAGCTCAGTATAAAATGTATTTTGCTAAATAAACTCACAAAGCATAAAGGATTCTAGATACCTTTGCGTAATAGTCAATCTGTTTCTTTTTCACCAGGAAGGGTCAAGCTTAATGGTTTTTAGGATCACCACTATATATGCAAATTGGATTCTTACAAAATAATCAGCCATTTTAGAATGCACATATTGATGCTCTGATTGCCTCAAAAGTGAGTCAAGGAACATAAAAATTATTTTCACTAAGAGAGTACTCAATTTTAGTTGAATGTGACAACAAACCAATTTCATGTCATTTCTTTCAAAATTCATGTTTAAGTCATATTATTTGAGAATTGTTCACATTTTAAATTTAAGACAGATCTTTTAAAAGTTAAACTTTAAAAAAAATTGAAAATCACTTGGTATATTTAACTGGTACTTATTTAGATCGGAGTTAATTAGATCTAGAGGTTAAAAATGTCTGAGTTTGAAGCCAACCACTTGGCTGTATAAACTTAGGCAAGTTATACAGCCTAGCTAAGCCTCACTTAAAAAAAAAAATCTATGAAATGGAGTCAATGTATTTACCTCACAGAGTTGTGATGATTAGATGAGATTATGCTTAGAAACCTGCCTGCCACATAGTAAGTGCTCAATAAATATCCATGACAATGATGGTGACTCTCTAGTAATCCTGATATGCTATTCCTGTCCTATATATCCCAAGACATCCTCACAGATGTCCAATAGGTATCTCAATCCTACTAGATAGAACTACTGCTCCCACCCATCAACCTGCTTCTCCCCTGGGAGCCCCTCTCAGTAAATAGCACCATCATTAACCTATAGTCATTTCTCAGGAGCTGGACCTAGCAGTCATTTTTATTCTCTTTTTCAACCACTATATCAAATTCCTTTGAGCTGTATCTTCAGTATATTTTGAATGCAACCACTTCTCACACGTCTATCACTGCCTCACCTGTCCAAGCCAGCATCATCTTTAACCGGGGCATCTGCAAAAGACTGTTGATGTAGCTCCCTGTTTTCACTCGTGTTCCTCCTGTCCCTTTCAGTCTATTTTCCACTCATCTGCCAGAGTGAGTCTTGAAAATGTAAATCAGGTCACTTCCCTGCTCAGAATGCTTCAACGGCTTCTCATCATACATTGCACCAAATCCAAACCCCTTCCCTGTCCAGAAGACTCTAAGTAAATGGGCTTCTCCCAGCCTCATCTCCTACCACTGTTCTCCTAACTCACTCAGTGCCAGCCAAATGGCCTCGTTTGCTATTTCTTGAGCATCTTGAGCTTGTGAAACACACCTCTGCCTCTGCACCTTTAGCCTTGCCAGTCTCCTGTATGAGAAACTCCTTCCCGAAAGAGCCATGTGGTTCTTTAGCTCACGTCTCTCTGCTCAAGTATCAGGCTTTTCTTGATCACCCCATCAAAAGAAGCATCCCCATAGCTCCGTTTTAATTTGCCTCATGGCACTGTCACTATTTATTTCATGTGTGTGTATGTACACGTGTATACATATGTATGTAAATTCATTGACAGTCTGTCTCCCAACTCATACATAAAATCCATGAAAGCACTTTGTTTTGTTCATAGATGGATTCCCATTGTCGAGAATAGTGCTTGGTACCTTGCAGATATTAAAGAAATACTTTTCAATACACGGAGAGTTCTCCTTGTATTAAAATTGGCTGGGTTTAGCCAAATACTCCAATCACTACTAAAATAAGTTCTAAACAAACAAACAAACACAAAAGCAAGTAGCGGAGTTACATTGAATTAGTACTTCTATATTCTATATACTTTCCAGAAACCTTACAGATCTAAGTTTGAAAACAGGGGTCTTAAAATTCTTTATTCAGGAAACACAGTAGAATTTTTTATTCAGTAAACCTAGCAGCAGTCTAGCAGAAAAAGTTCCTCTTATTTCATCAGAGTGCTGGAAGAAATAAGTATTAAAAACAAAGTTTCTGCATTTACAACAATCAAATGATTAGTTACTTGATTGAAATACAAGGTACTTCAAAAAGTTCATGGAAAAATTTAATTAAAACATAATTACAAATCTTCCTATGAATATTTTTATATAAGGAAATTATATTATGGGATACAATTGTTTTGAGACTAAAATAAAAGGGAAACGTCACAGCAGAGTGTTAATGAATTAAAAAATTCTTTTGTAAAAGTCAACAATCCTTTTATAAAAGTCCCAAACTATGGCTCTAAAATAATAGCTAAATACATGACACTTAAATTCACCATAAAAATAAAGTTGCTTTAACCTGCTGTATTTTTAAATTATGGCAGCTATTATAAGCCATAAAAAATAATTTTATAATATCATAAAACTGTTAAATCCAATCAATACAAAGCAGGATATGAGTAAAATCCCAGCAGATAATGCTCTGAACCTCTATCACGTTACCTGTGTTTCTTTTATGGCACTTAATCACTTTTTATCTTTTATTTGCAAGTATTGGCATTTTTGGACACAAGATTTTTGTCTGTTTCACCTTTGCAGTCTCCTAGAATGTTAGCACGACTGGGCTACTCAGTACATATTTTCTGAAGGAAAGAATAAATGATGCAGAAGGTTAAAGTTGGGGAATAACGGCAGTAAACACGGCATAAACGTAATAGTGGATATATCTGGAGAGTTCCAAATGAGCTCAATTGCTGCTTTTTAAAATATCATATCCTACGAGAGAAAAGTATAGACTTAGATAAATCCATAAACGTGCTTTATGTGCACTCTATTTTGCTTCGCAGTATTTATCACAACTGTAATAAAGCAATCACTTGTGTAGTCATTTGCTTAACATCTGTATATGGCTTCTTAGAGGCTCAGCAGCTCACAATAGTAGAAGCCCAACAGATATATTTTGAATTAGTGAATGCAGTTAGGGCTGTGCCACTGCATAATTTGAAAATGACTGGGTCCCCTTTTCTAGCTGGGTTTACCAGGCACTCAGAGCTTCACAGAACCTAACAATTTGTTTTTCATTGGTTTTAGGATACATACTTTTTCACACAAATCTTACGAATGATGGTGTCTTAGTGTTATGCATAGTTTAATTGGAAGTATTTTTTCTTTGAGTATTACTTAAATTACACTGTTTTAATGAATGATGGTGTTTGCTAATTAATGAAATATAGTTAATTCCATCTTAACATGGAAAACTTCAAATACAAAAACTTCAAGTACTTACGTCAATTAAATCTGAAAGATCATGAATATAATACTTGAAAACTGAGGCATTGGTTGCTTCAAGGGTTAGGAGATATTCATTCCGTGCCTTGATTGATTTTAGCTTATTTTCCGAATACTTTGCTTGTCTCTGGAAATGAAGAAGTTTCAGACATTGGGAAAGAAAGCAAGGTCATTTTTAAACAAGACAGAGAAAGATACATGAATTTTTATTAATCCAAACAATTTATTCCACATATACAAATGACCCTGAAGTCCTTTGTGAAAAGTACATTTTGAATCTGATTTAAATAACAAACTAAAATTACCCAGCTACGGAATAACAACAATGTATTTGGGCTTCAGGCCCATTTGCAATGAAATCTCTTTGTTAATATTCAAGTTCTCCACATTGTGTACTGAATACTTGGCATTTACCACTAAATGACATCCAGCTGTTATTACATGATTTTTACGTTTCTTAACCATTTTTCATTCCTGTGGGAGGAAATGTGTGTCATTTCGCAATAGTTTACAACGTGTGTATATCAGCTATTGCATCAGTGTTCTTAGTATTATCTCATCAAATAAGAACAGAAAGGCTCTGCAATATATTTACTTACCTTTTCTTTCATTTTTTCTATTTTCTTTACAGAGCTTCGCCGCTGATGTCTCTCTTCAAGTCTAATATGGAAAACTGGATCACCAGATCTTCCAATTTGCTTTTCCTCTTGTTTCTCAGCCTCTTTCAGCTTGCTCTCTGCACTGATGCTCTCTGCATGATACATATGGTATGTTTTCATCACCTGTGAAAAAGTGACCCAAATTGTTAAAAGATGTCTGCCTGTAACTGAGACTGAACGGAAACTATTATATGACATATATGTTAAAAATATCACCTTCCAATGGCAGGGTAAAAAACCATTAAAATAAAATAGATGGATTATGTGGTAAATATAGTAAATTATATAGTAAAATAGATGAATTATGTGGTACTGCTTCTACATAAAGCAAACAAAAATATGCAAATTCACCTGCCAAGAAGAGGTACTTAGGGGACAGGCTTTGATGAAAAAATGATTTATAGAGTGTTACGCATACTTTTCAATGTACTTGAGAAGTTCTCTAAAGCTTAAAACTGTTTCTCCAAAATTTCTTCTGCATTATTAATTTGCAGAATAAAACATTTATTCAATTTTAGTCCAACAAAAATTCCAAATTAGTATAGTCCTTACTAAAGGGGTTTTATTGCAAAAAATATACTTGTCAAGATGCAAAATAAATATTAAGGTTTATACATAGTTTTAGTTTTAAAAACATTGTTTATCTGATCATGAAGTAATACTTTATGTTCAATGTAGAAAACATACAATACAAAAAATATATAAATAAAAAGCAATCAAAGATAACCATTGTTAAGATTTTCGTATACAGCCTTCCGGTCTTTTTCTGTGAAAACACATACACACACTTCACTTTAAAATGCCGCATACCATTTTTCCCTTTAAAAAATTGAGATCATCCTGTATTTATAATTTTTAGTGTCCTTTCTCATGTAATATATTAGAACATTTTCCTATATCACTAAAAATTCTTCTAAAACATAATTTTAAGGGTTATATGATATGTTAAGAAATTGAGATTAATGTACGTAATGAACTTGATTTTTCTCATTTCAAAAGATGAGTTTTGAAATACTAGTTTGGGACCTGGAAGCATCACTGGAATAAATATATTTATTTAGGTTGAACCATATCAAATTGCTGCTTCTGTAGTTTATTTAAAAAAAAAAAAAGGTGGAAAATCAGCACCTTCTTAATGTTCAACTTAACACATGTTCACAGGATGATTTTGAAGAGTAAAACATGAGGTTAATGAAGACCCTTTACTTATTTTCATAAAATAAAGTGTCTTTCTGATGGTGTCTTTCCTTAAAAATGTAAGCTAGCAAAACATGTCAAAGGCATTACTGAACAAGAACAAAGTAAGGGCCGCTTTTTCTGAGCTGTGTGTAATTGGAAAGTTGTCTGTTTTTAGTAATTATCGAATCTATCTGGGGGAAGTTTGGTTGGCTACTTCAGTTTAAAAGAAAAACAAAATAGTATTAGGAAGCAGCTGGGGAATGAGGAGGGAGTCACCCCGCAGCTGGGCAAACAGCGGGGTCAATGGATCTGCTACACACCTTGCATTTCTAGGCTCGGCTCTGTTTATATTACCTGCCTGAAGCAAACCCACATACCATTTGGGTCCTAGTTCCAATTACATCTTAAAATGAGAGGGTGAAAACACATGCACACACACAGCTGTTCAGCTGTCTCTATTCTTCTTGCTAATAGATAGGAAGGAAGAAATGAGAACAGCTGACTCCCATCACACTCGAATGAAAAGGCATCTCAGATCGCCCTGGCTATCTAAGAAATATTTCTTTTAAATACATCACACAAAAAAGATCTGAACTCCTGACTCTTGCTTTACATGGATACAGATAACTAGTATAAGCAGGTAATTTGCACAAACTAAGCCTTAGTATAAGAGAACGTATACTAAGCTGACTGCCTGCATGGGGTTTCTTATTAATGAGTCTGGGTTAAAAGGAAAATATGAGTCTGACCTAACACCAGCAAAAAAAAGGGTGTAAATATCATAATGTGCTTTAGCACAATAGCTGTAGAGGATTCTCTACTTAGTTAATGGTAATTTCCAGAAAGCAAATTTCTTTGTTCAGTTTTCCAATTTGACTTAGGATTTCTACTATTTTCTAAAATGTTAAGAGTTATGATGAATGATTAAAAGTTGGGGAGAAAAACGCTAAAAGCTTTTGGAGAACTCTAATTGCAGATAATGAATGCAAGTAAAAACTGCATTATTTAAAATGTAAGCTGTTGACAGAATCAAATGTGTTTTGTATTTAAAATAAAATATCAGATGGGTCTCTTTTTTTTCGGAGAAGTAAAAGAAAGCTTTTATTTTTTAAAGTTGCATTTTGAATACATACTATAAAGAAAATAACAGCTTCTCCATCAGCTTAATGCAAACAGTAGCCTTTGCATACCAAATAATTCGATAGGCATATATCCAGTTAAATCTACTCCAGTAGCATATTTTCCTATTTGAATTCTCCTCTACTAAACTTTCATGCATAATTCTCCATTCAACACAATTCATTTTTGTTCAACCACAGAAAAAACATCGTCCCAGGAGAAAATGACCCACATCATAGATTTATTTGTGAGACTGGAAAATAATATATAATAACTTGCAAAGAAGCTGTTAATATTTTTTTTTTCTGAGAGGCCCATATCATGTCTTTGACATGACCTGTACATTAAAATACCTGTAGTAAATTTCAATACTTAGTGTTAAGAAATCATTATGTATCTGAAAATGACATATGTGTTAGAGATCAGTGAATTAAGGCTATCGTTTCTACTTGACTTCTGGCTCAAAAGTTAGAAGACATGGATCCCAGGAATGGATCTACCAATTACTAGGTGTGGGGAAGTCATTTAATGCCTCTGCTCACCTTACAAGATTACTGTGGATGCCAAATTGTATGCCCCTGTGTGTGTGTGTTTACCTTAAACTTTACTGAGTGCTTACTATATATGTGTATATCAAGGTATAAAATATATACCACCAATACAGATATGTACACATAATATTATATATTGCTTATTATGTACTAGACATTGTTTTAAGCATTTCAAAAATAACTTCTTTAATACTTCTAGAAACTCTTTGAGGTAGGTACCTTTTATTGTCCCCATTATACAGATGATAAAACTGAGGCATAGAGAGGTTAAGTAACTTGCCCAAGGCCACACAGCTTGTCACTGGCAGAGCAATGGTTGGAACCCAGGCAGTCTGGCTTCTGGACTGCTACACCATAACCTTTAGAAAGTCTAAAGCATTATACAAGAGGAAGTCCTCTCTACCTAGGAGATACAGTTACTCTTGGTTATATGTAGGAATGGAGAAAAATAAGGAATGAAAGATAATTATTTATTCATTCAACATTTGCTTGGTACTTACCACCCTAAAGGCACTGATGGGTCTAAAAATAAAAACTTAGTTTCCATGTTCTAAGAATTTAAATTTTGGGAGACCAAAAAATGGGCCTTAGTATTCTGATGGGCAGAGATGAAGGGAGAGGGCATTCAGGCTGGAGGGATAGTATCGGTGAAGGTATGCGGGGAGGGGAATGGGGGGGAAGCACACAGGTGAGGTGGGTGTGAGCAGACCACAATGGGGTCCCAGGAAGAGCTTGGAAAGTGGATGGTCAGGCCAGATCAGGAGAGCCTTGAAACTCCAACTAAGAAGTGCATAATTTATTCCATAGGGGTTGGTGAATCCACAGAGGTGCAGACAGTATGGTCAAAGCAGTATTTCAGTAATAATTTGGTGAAGATATGCAAGATGGCTTGGGGTGTGAAGTGACCTCATTTAGTGTGGAAGAAGAGAAAATGGAAAGTAAGAAAAAGGATCCAAAACGACAGTTACTGGGCCTTTTCTCTGTTATCACTCTCTTTGACCTTTTCTTGAACTTGACACGATTCCCTCCGCCATGGAGTTCAATGCCTGCAGATCAGTCCCAGCACCCTCCGGAGTAGCGCTTTGTGTACTGCTTCGAGTCAGTCGCTTACTGCTCCCTTCTTTGCACATTCCTGCCTCTGTGGCCTTCTCCTAAGCCAGTCCCACTGCCTGAGATGCTCCCCACCCCTGCACCCCATCTTGTTAACATTTTGACCCATCCTCCAAGGCAAGCCCAAGTCTCACCTCCTGCTAAGTGTCCTCTGGTTCTCCGGCCAGAGTGACCTGATTCTTCTCACTGCCAAGACTTACTTATTGATGGCACTTCAACTCTCTGCCATATGTTATAGATATCTGTGTACCACCCAGTATAATCCATAAGGATTGTCCTGTAAGATCAGCTCGGGCACCAACAGTGTGTGTACCTTCAGATCCTCAATATTGCCTTATTTGAAGTATGAGAAAAATAGACATTTGGTGAGAAACAAATGAATGACAGGAACCCGTTATACAGTCAGCTTGTTCATTCATTTATTCATTTAACAAATATTTATTGAACACCTACCATGTACCTGGCTTGTTCTTCTCTATTCCCAACATCCAAAATAGCACAACCAATAAATACTTGGGATTGAAGGAATGGAATGAAAAATAGTTCTCAATGATTTGTGAAATACAGTGTTGGAATTTTTGGCCCCTCAAAAAAAAAAAAAAGATGTGGTGGTTTGGGAGGGGCAATATGTTAGTGACAATATTTCCTAACTCCATAGCCTCCTGCTTCACTCAGTTCATCAATCACTGAAAGCTCTTCAGAGAAAATTGTCAACAACCTCAGATAAAGATCTATTTTCTGCAGTCAATACATAAGAGGGCTCTAATTGTAAATGAGTTTCTGCAAGTGCCAGGCTAACGAAACCATCAGGGTAGGACCACAGCCTTGGATGTCCTTTTCTTTTGTTTCCCAGGAAGCGCTCAGGCTCCTGCGGAAAGCAGGGCCACGGGCTGTGCTGCAAAGAGCCTGGCGCCTCCAGGGGCCTGCGTGGCCTCAGTCCTTCCCTCCAGGATATAGCCTCTGCTTGGCCATGCATGTCTCTCAGGGCATATTCCAGACAGGGGCGGCTTTTAACAAGTGCACGCAGATCACTGTGTGCCAGCATCTTTACCCCTACGGTCTGCAGCCTCTTGCTCTTCAGTCTGCCGAGCCAACCCTGCTGACGCCTCGGGAGCCATGCAGACGTGGAGTTGAGTTCTGACACCACTGCTTCCTAAGTGGGCA